ATCACATCATACTTTATATCAGAGTGTACTGATTTCCCTAGGAGCACTGGGACATTCAAAAGCAGAAACAATGATTTTTTTTTCTCTGAACTTCAGCACAGAATAGAGAATCTACTGAGAGTGGAATCTTGATCATGATTTGAATAAGGATTGAATCTGTAAATTAGTCAGATAAATCAAATCACTCTGATAAGTAAGTGGCAGAGCTAGAATTCCATTTCAGCTGTTTGACAGTAAAAGCCACTGTGATTTCCCTAATATCTGGAAGTTCTAAGGGCACACTTGATACTCCAGAGTAGCTGCATGCCCAAGAAAACTCCCCAGTAGCACTAGACCAGTTTAAGCCAGAATTGAACTGGTCAGCAGAAACCCAGTGGAATAAAGTCTCCTTTCTGGGAGTATCAACCACATACCACTTGGGTTATCAAGGGACTGTCCCAAGAAAATCAGTTTCTGGAGCATGTTAAAATACAAACAACCACCGCCCACACATCCACTCCTTAAAGACAATTGGTCCAAAGAATCTTAGAGAATTTAAACAATTCCACAATGCATGAATTTTGTTTTCCCCAACCAAGTATTTTCCACGGAATTTTTATCTTATATTTTGCTCTACTGTGAAGTGCACTTCCCCATATTATATTTCTTTACTCAGGGCAAACCTGCAAACCTATGTACAGAAGTACATGCATTTTGAGGATTCTTAACATATGCATGTTTCAGGTTTGCTTTTGTGGATTAAGATGATGTTAGCACCATCCTTTGGAAAGCGTGTTTCTATCTGTTTATAATTGTAACTATTTTTTATACAACTGAATGTCACTTGTTATTGTTTTGTGCCATCCAGTCACGTGCAACTCATAGCGACTCTTTATACAATAGCTCTTAACTCTGCTCTATCCTGAGCCAGTCTCACTGTCTCTGACACACCTACTCCCATTACTCCAATTACTATGCCAATACATCTCATCTGGGGTCTTCCGCTTCTATGCTGTCCCTCTACCCTTCCAAGCATGATGTCCTCCAGGGACTGGTCCCTTCTGGTCATATGCCCAAGGTTTGTGAGACAGAGCTTCAAAATCCTTGCCTCCAAGGAATTAGCCTTTGATAAATGTCAAATACCCTCTCCAAGGTAAACCTGTTTGTTCTCTTAGCAGTCCATGTTCAATACTCTTTTCCAGCACCATAACTCAAAGGAATCAATTCTTCCTCTGTTATCTTTAGTCATTGTCCAGCTTTCTGATGCATAGCAAGTAATTGCAAATACCATGGCCTGGATCAAGCATACCTTAGTGTCCAGAATGACATCATTGCTCTTCAGCACTTTTGAAAAGTCTCTGAGAGAAGCTTCCCCCAGAGCAATTTGTCTTTTGATTTTTTTTGTTTGTTTGTTTAAATTTCTAAGCTTTGAAAACAGTCCAGGATAGGGTAAAGTTCTGATGTGCTGTCCATAGGGTCACTATGAGTAGTAGTTGATTCGATGGCACTTAACAACAACAGTAATGCTGAGCGTATTTTCATATACTTAACTGACATGAGTCTTGAAGGTTTAGAAAGTTTAATTAAACATTTGTAGGGGAAGGAAGCAAGATAAAGGTAAGGGAAGTGCATGAATTGGATCAAGAATTCACATTTTGAGTTGCAAGAAGAGATTAATCTGCTAGTCTTGAAAGGGAAAGGATGCTTCTGTTTCTTACAAAATTGAGTTGGTGTCAGCATTAGATTACACTTTCTCTATTTTCTCCTAACTCTGAGACCTAGTAACGCTACTTTGCTGCCTTCTTGACTCCTGGTGTCATTGTGGAGCTGAGTAAGCTGAAATTGTTAACAATCCCAATTTCTTCTCCATCTATCATGGTGCTGCCAATTGGCCCAATAGTGAGATTCTTTGTCTTCTTGATGTTGAGCTTCGCAGCAAGCACTTCAGGTCCACCTCAGTTTCAACAAGCAAGGTTGCATCATTTTCATAATATAGGTTGTTGAGTGGCGTCCACTTCTTAAATAACATGTCTCCAGAAACTCTGTGAACTTCAATAAATGTCAATAGTTACAGAGGTGCTTCAGACCTTTTGTTCATAAGGTCGCTATAAGTCATGCTCAACTTGAAGGCAATCAACAACAACAAGGTTGTTGATCAGTCTTCCTCCAATCCTGATTTCACATTTCTCTCCATAATGTCCAGCTTCCTGAATGATCTGTTCCACATATAAATTGAAAAAATACGGAGACAAGATGCATCTCTGACATACTTCTGTGATTTTGAATCATCCTCTGTTTCCTTGCTCTGTTCTACCAACTACTTCCTGGTCCAAGTATAGGTTTCACATGAGCAAAATCAAGTGTTCAGGGATTTTCATTCTTCCAAAGATTAGCTATTATTTGTTGTGATCCACACAGTCAAATGCCTTTGCATAGTCAGTGAAATACACGTAGACATTCCTCTGGTATTCTCTGCTTTCTGCCAAGATCCATCTGATGTTGGCAATGATATGGCCTCTTCTAAACCTGGCCTGTATTTCTGGTAGTTCTTGGTTGATGTACTGTCTCAACCATTTTTGGATAATCTGGAGCAGGGTTTTGTTTGTGTGCAGTATCAGTGATATTGTTCAATAATTTCCACATACTATCAGGTTACCCTTTTTTGGAATGGAAACAAATAGGGATTTCTTCCTGTCAATTTTCTAGGTGGTTGTCCTGTAGATTTCTTGACACAACTTGGTGAACATATCCAGGGAAGCATCTATCTGTTGAAATATGTCAATTAGTATTCTATCAATTCCTGGGGCTTTGTTTTTTGCCAACTCCTTCAGAACAGCTTGAACTTCACCATTCCCTCTTGATTATATTGTTTCATAAAATTCTTCTGTGTCATCCAATTCTTTTTGGTATAGTAACTCCGTGTACTCCTTCTATCTTCTTTTAATGCTTCCTGAATCATTCAATATTATGCTCATTCAGTATTCTGCACCTTGAGGCTTGAATTTGTTCTTCAGTTCTTTCAGTTTAATAAATGCTGAACAAGTTCATCGCTTATGATTTTCTGATACCAGGTCTTTGTACATTTCATTGTAATATAATATTTTGCTTTGTCTTCCCTTGTTGATATTATGTACTGTAGTGTTGGAACCAACTCATAGTTGACCCTTCGGAGGATTTTTAAATCACATAGGAGGAGATTGTCCATCCTTCTCCTATGGAGCAGCTGGTGGCCTTTGAGATTGTAGTGCAGCTTCTTGCCACTAGGCCACCAGAGGTTCCTTTGTCTTCCCTAGCTGCCCTTTGCAATCTTCTGTCATCTCCTTAACTTCCTGAATCCTTCCTTTTGTTTTGGCTTCTGGACGATCTAGTACAATATTCAAAGTACCTACTGACATCCATCTAGGTCTTTTCTTCCTCCTCTGTCTTTGCAATGACCTTTTGCTTTCTTCATGAGTTATATTCTTGATCCTCTCAAACCTCATCTGCTCTGCATTCATTAGTGTTCACGCCCTCAAACCTGTTCCTGAGGTGATCTTTAAATTCAAGTGGATTAGATTCAAGGTCAAATTTTGCTCCTTCTGCTTTTTATTTCATTTTCTTTAGCTTTCGTCTGGTTTTGCATATGAGTAGATGATGGTCTATTCCACAATAGCATGTGGTCTAATTTTCACAGAAGATGTTGAGCTTTTCCCGTGATTCTTTCCACAGATTTTGTCTGATTCCTGGACATCAGGTGAGGTCCATGTTTATAGGCACTGTTTATGTTCATTCTATCTCCAGCCTCATTTCTGTCACCAAGTCCATGCTTTCTGACTACTTATCCTTCTTCTCTGTTGCCAACTTCTACATTCCAGTCACACATCTTGGTTACATGATTGATTTCTGAGAAGAAAAGCTGGTAGAAATCATCTCTTACCTTCTCTTTGGCTCCTGTTGTTGGTGCATTTATCTGAATGATAGTGACATTAACCAGATTTCCTTATATGCATATGAATATTATCCTATTGCTCACAATATTGTATTTCAAGATAGATCTAGACCTTTTAAACTGTGAATGCTACTCCATTTTTCTTTTTCAGCTCCAGCATAGTAGATCATATGACTGTCTGATTCAAAATGTGGCACACTAATCCATCTCATTTCACCAATACCTAGTATGTCAATATTTATGAAATCCATTTCTTTCTGTACAATGTTCAATTTTCCTAAGTTCATGCTTCTCACATTCTAACTCTGCTTACAATTATTCCTCCTCAATTTTGTTTCCCAATATGAGGGCTCAGCCTCAGGTACAATATCTGCTTGTCTACTTTTAAGCGTTTTGCTCTATGGTGCATAGAGTTTGTGAATGCCACTAAAGTTGAAAAAAATTCAGCTGTACATGAAGTGCCCTGCTCTTACAGAGCACATATTTGCTTGACATGAAAGTGAATTAGCCTTTAGTAAAAATACCCAGCATCACATAAACAATACTTTCAAAAGCACCAATATTTTATACAAAATAACAATTTTAAAATAAAGAATGTTCTGGAAGACAGTTTGGCACTTCCTCAAAAAGCTAAACATAGAAATTCCATATGACCCAGCTATTCCACTACTTGGAATATACCCTGAGAAAACAAGAACTGAGGCACAAACTGAGATTCATACATCAATATTCATAGCAGCATTATTCACCATCACAAGAACATGGAAACAGCCCAAATGTCCATCCACAAATGAATGGATTGCGAAGTTATGTTACATTCACACAATGGAATACTATGCAGCACGCAGGAGCAATGATTTTGTAAATTGTGACATAACTTGGGAGGGACTGGAGAGCATTATGCTAAGTGAACTAACTCAGACCCACAAGGATAACTATTGTATAAAACCATTATTGTAGAATAAGGATCCAAGAAGGGTGAGAGAGTTGGAAGCAGATGGGTGAGGATGTGCAGGGGAGGGGGGATTTTAACCATGGGGTTGTATGTACAATTTGATGGGGGTGTGTGTGAGGGAAATGGAAAAATTTGTTCTTAAAAACAATGTATTCGTATTTCATAATAAAACTAGTAGAAAATTTAAAAAAGTGCAAATCAGACAGCCACAACTGTCTTTAAAATCATTATTTAAAAAACAAAACAAACAAAAATCCCATTATTAATGTTACCTCTGAATTATGTAACATTGTTTTCCATTTGATCATTGAATTCATTCTCCAGTTCAAGGCACAAAAAAAAGAATCATAATTTACTTGTTTTTCATTGTCTTCAAACCTGAAAATATAATTATGATATTATTTGACTCAATCTTCAGGATCAAAATAACAGGTTAATGTTTACCATAAAAGCATAATATCTGATTCATACCTTATATCTTTGTCATTTTTTAGTAAAATTTATCTATTTCATACCGTGTAGGATATAAACTATAACAATCTTATCTACATAATTCCAAGTATTCCAAGTAGCTAGATTAAGGTGAGCATTTATTAGGTGTTCAATAAATACTGGTTACATCAACCACAGAAACAACTGTTTATTCAGTAACTAAGATCATTTTAATATTTTGTTCTGAGTATTTTAGAGTCCCTGTTGTTGGTGTAGGGTATAATGTGTTGGAATCTCAATTGCACTAGCTGCTCTGTGGAAGAATGATGGGTAATCTTTTCCTCTGAAAACCTGTTGTAGGATCATTTATTGGCTGGTTCCAGTTGATGGTACACAACAACAACCATCTATATATATGAAAAAATGCACTGGAGGGTCAGCTATGGGTCAGTTCCAACTTAATGGAATACAGCAACAACAATAAATAAAAGGACTCTTCTCCAGGCTACTGCTCTTCTCTCAGGCTACCTAATGCAGATGAAGCTTTTTTTAGGGCATTATGCTATTTTTATATTTTCCACATGTTATTGTTATATGTTGTCGAGTTGTCTGTGACCCATAGCGACCCTATGTACAACAGCTCTGAAGAGGGCCCTCTCTTGAGACAGTCTCACTGACTCTGGCACACCTACTTCCATTGCCCTAGTTACTGTATCAATCATTCTCATATAGAGTCTTCCTTTAAAGCACTGTCCCTCCCCACTTCCAAGCATGATGTCTTTCTCCAAGGATCAGTCCCTTCTGGCCATATGCCCAAAGTATGTGAGATGGAGCTTCACAATCCTAGCCTCTAAGGAGAAATCTAGTTTCACCCTCTTCAAGACAGACTTACTTGTTTTTTTGGTATGTTCATGACTCTTCTGCACCACAACTCAAAGGCATCAATTTTTCTTCTGTTATCCTTAGTCATTGTCCAGCACTCTGATGCATAGCAAGTAATTGCAAAGACCATGGCCTGGATCAGGCACACCTTAGCTTCTAGATTGACATCAATGCTTTTCAATACTCTGGAGAGGCCCTTGACAGCAGATTTACCTAATCAAATTTGGCTTTTGATTTCCTGACTGCAGTTGTGGCTAGCTTTATTTACATTTTCTCTTTGATTTTTTAAATGTTTGTTTCATTTAATTTTTAATTTTAGTTACATTCTTTTTCACACTGGATCGTTCCCATTTTCTTTACCCACCCCAACTTTCACCCATCAAATAGTGCTACCCGATGATTAACAAAAACTTTTTTTTCATTTAAGCCTCTTGTTTAGAGTCAACAAGACCTCTCGGAGGGCCTTTGTATTCAAAATTCGGTGGTTATTATTTTGGAGGATTCTTCTTCTAAGTGGTACAGCACTCTTCTGTGAATATGCCGCACTGAGGTAACCTGGGGTTGCTGTGATGCTGAACCTTGTGCCATTGGAGTGTCAAATGCTATATTAGTTATCCATGGTGGACAGTGGTGGAGCTCCCAGTTTAAGGCAGGTTTGGAAACAGGAGTGGCATTATCGCTTCCTAAACAACATGCCTCTAGAAACTCTCCGAACTTTGATAAATGACAATAGTTATAGAAAGGCTTCAGGCTTTTTGTTCATAAAGTTGCTATGAGTCATGTTCAACTCGATGGCAATCAACAACAAAACCACAATTAATCACTCCCTATCCCTCCTCATCCTTCTCCCCACCCCTTCTCCCTTTGGATCCTCATGCGCATTCTTCAATAATGGTCTTGTTGTTGTTGTTGTTGTTGTTATGTGCCATCGAGTCGTTTGCGACTCATAGCGACCCTATGTACAACAGCCCTATATGACCCAGCTATTCCACTTCTTGGAACATACCACAAGAAAATGAGAACTGAAGCATATGGACACTTGTACACCAATATTCATACAGCATTATTCACCATTGCAAGAATATGGAAATCGCCCAATGTTCAACCACAATTGAATGGATAAAAAAATTGTGGTACATTCGCATGACTGAATACTATGGAGTCTCAGGAGCAATGATTTTATAAATTACAACAAAACTTGGGAGTGACTGGAGAACATTATGCTTAGTGAACTAACTCAATCTCATAAGGACAAATAATGTCTAAGATGATACATTATTAACCAGAAAGTAAAGTACACAAGTTACTAACTAAAGGATGAATGGAAAGTAATGAATTATAAGAAAACTTAGTGACAGTAAAAGCAGGAAAACAACATACTAATAAGCAATTGAAAGCAGGGCTTTCAACTGGTTCTTTTCAGTTCAGTCATAGCTAATAAATAGATATTCTGCTGGCATTCTCTCTTTTTAGCTAGGATGCACCTGGCATTAGCAATGATATCCCTGATGCCATGGCCTCTTTTAAAGCCAGCTTGAACTTCTTGAAGTTCTCTGTCAATGTACTATTCTATTAGTTTTTGGATGATCTTCAGCAATATTTTTATTTTATGCAATATTAATGCTACTGTTTGATAATTTCCACATTCTGTTTGCTTCTCAATGCTCTCGTACAATTTTCATAGCACAGTATATGGTGTCTGATTTATTATGGATTATAACAAATTATCATTAACATTAAGAATAACGGTAATCCTAGAATATTTAATTATGCTCTTGGGAAACCTATACATAGATCAAGAAGCTGTTGTTCAGAGAAATGAAACAACACTGAATGGTTTAAAATCAGGAAAAGTGTGCATCAGGATTGTATCTTCTCTCCATACATATTAAGTCTATATACTGAACAAATTATTTGAAAAGCTGCATTCTACAAAGAATGTGGCATCAAGATTGGAGGAAGAGTCATCAACCAACCACTTGTGCTATGCAGATGACACAACCTTCCTTGCTGAAATTAAAAAAGACTTTTAATGCTTACTCCAGAGGATCAAAGACTACTATAGTCTTCAATATGAATTGCATCTCAACATCAAGCAGACAAAAGTCCCCACAGTTGGATCTATACTCAACTTCATAATAGATGGATAAAAGATTTAAACTGTCAATCATTTCATTTTACTTAGATCCACAATCAACACTCTTGGTGCCTGCAGTCAGGAGATCAGGAGTCATAATGCAGTGGGAAATCTGCAGTCAGGGTCCTCTCCAAATTACTGAGGAGCAATGAAATCAGTTTCAAGACTAAGGTGTGTCTGGCTATATTTTCAATCACTTCATATATATTTGTGAGCTGGAAAAGGAATAAGGATGACATAAGAATAATTGATGCATTTGAGTTGTGGTTTTGGAGAAGTGTACTGAACATCCCATGGATTGCTAAAAGAATAAACAGATATGTCTTGGAGAGTGTGTAGCCAGAGGGGTCTTTGGAGGCAAAGATGACAAAGCTTCACCTCACATACCTGGAGCATATTTTTTGAGCATATTTTTAAAAGGAGCTATACCTTGAAGAGGTACATCATATATCTTATAAGAGACTCATATCTAAAATTTATAGAATATTCCAGCACTTCAACAAGAAAAAGCGAAACAACTCAATAGCAAAATGGGCACAGGATATGAATTAGATACTTTACCAAAGAAGACATGCAGATGGTAAACAAACACATGAAGAAATGTTCAAAATTCCTATATATCAGAGAGATGCAAAATAAAACAACTATGAAATATCATCTTATCCCCACTATCAATAGCAAAATTCAAAAGAGCAGCAAACAACAAATGCTGGCGAGGTTGTGGAGAGATTGGTACACTTAAGTACTGCTGTTGAAAGTGTCAAATGATGCAACCACTAGAGAAGTCAGTTTGGTGTTTTCTCAAACAGTTGAAAATAGAAATACCGTTTGACTCAGCAATGGGAATATACCCTAAAGAAACCATAACCACCATCCAAACGAATAAATGCACACCCATGTTTATTGCTGCATTATTTACAATAGCAAAGAAATAGAAGTATCCTAAATGTCCATCAACAAATGAAACGATAAAAAAACTATGGAGTATATTAATACAGTGGAATACTACGCAGCACTGAAAAACTGATTTGGTAAAATATTACACAACTTGGGGGATTCTAGAACACATTATGCTGAGTGAAATATCTCAGTCACAAAGGGACAAATAATGCATATCACTTCTGTTATAAAGCATGGGGGCTTGGAGGAAAATAGGATAAGAGTGGATAGATAATGACCATTGCATTGGAACAAATGAAAGAAAGAACTGTCTAAAAGGAATATATGATTAAGTATTATACTTAGGACAACTCAGAATTAGAGGTATATCATTGCAAAGAAGACTTGGTGCAGGGGGAGGTATATAATTGTGCAACAATGAATATTTGAAAAAATGAACTGAGGGAGGAGGAGGGGTAAAATGTGCAACAATGAATGAATAAAAAATCTAACTTCTATAAAAACGTTGGTTAAAATAACAAAATAATATTTTAAAAAAGGAAGGTGAAAGAAGAGAGGAAGATCCTCAACTAGAAAGATTGACACAACGACTCAGTGTCAGAGATGATGAGGATGGCACAGGATAGGTCAAGGTTCAGATCTGTTGTTCATAGGGTCACTGACTTGACAGCACCTAACAACAACAGAAACAGTGCAGTCATGGATAATGAAGTAAAACCAGCATGGACTGAAATTTAGAAAACTGGGTAACTGGGAATGGGAGAAATTGCAAGTAAATGCCTTGTAAGAAATTTTTTTCCTTTTAGAAAATAAAGACAACATGTGTGTGTTGTCTAGCAATCAAATCTCTTTATTGGCAGAGTGGAAGATAACAGTGCCCTGTTCAAACATGGTGGCCAAACAAGTAATTTTGAATGTGTGCAGCTCTTCACAGTGTTGAAAATAATCTAATCTCCAGCAAAGATTTTACTATGCTTCTTGTTAGTCTCCAGCCGAAGGACTTTGGCTCATTTTTTCCCTATTTTAG